AGAAGGTGAGCTATTTCTGCACTCGTGATCCTTTGGATGATGCTTTGAATAGCGTCGTGCGTGTGGGATGGGAGACTTATATCATCTAAAGCTCTGTAATGTTCCTGCAAATGAAGGAAGCATGAACTACATGAAATGAGCGGTGCTGTTAAAAGATAATCTGCAGGCAGCAAGCATTACTGACCTGCTGCATATCCTTCATCTCACTCTGCAGAGAGCGATGGTTTGGAGGCTCACGACTGTAAAGTCCCTGAGGGCTGATACAGTGTCTTTCATACCTGTCAGAATTCAGCAGAAAAAAAAATCACTCATTCATAAACCATGTGTTTTGTTAAGATAATTTATAAATTTTTCAATTCACATTCACAGTGCCTGAAAAAGTAAGCCAGTGTATAAGTGCCAAAAACTGCAGTTGCACAAAATGGCCAGTTGAGAATGGCTGCAAAAGGGAATCAGTTTACATAGACATACAGCTCACATAGAAAGTGGCATGTGCTTAGAGCAAGGGTGTCAAACTTATTTTTCATGGCGAGCCACATGCAGCCCACTTTGGCCCTAAGGGGGCCGAACCATCAAATCTCCTTTTCTTTCAGCGTGAAGAAGTCACATATTTAACTGTTTCTACATGATAAAGAAAAAACTGCTGTGACAAAGAAAGGAATCCGTCAGCACAACTCTGGACTTTATAGAATTACACAAAAGTTTCTGTAGCTCATTGCCCAGACTGTCCAGTTTCATTGGCTTTGTTTTGCTTTGTTAGAGAAAGAAATTTCTGTAGTAGAAAGTAAAAAAACAAAACAATGAAACTGTAATTGTTTATTGATTTATTACTTTGTGTAGTATGAATGACCATAAGATAGGTTGTTATCAATAAAGATGTAAAAGTAATAAAAGTAAAGATAAAAGTCCTTAATTTATGCTTGTTCTTGTTTTTGGTGTGCAGCAGATCAAACAAGTTAAGAATTAGAAATGACTTCAATCGCACATTTAGGCCTCTGAGACTCATTGAGACACTCTGAGGCATGGTTTTGTGGTAGCATTTTTTTATTCAGTAATTTCAAAAACCTTATTTTTGTGCAATTACCACTACTGGGGAGAACACACATGAGGTTTAAGGCCCGGACAAGTTAGAAACCTTTTGTCCTCCACGATGGAAAATGGCTGAAAATAAAAACTGGGATCACTTAAGGCCAGTTCCTAATTTTATAGATTCTGCACTTTCCAATATAGTTGAAATCCAGCCAGATGCTGCTCATTTTACATTTTCCCTCTTTCGTTTTCGTTCCTTCACTTTTTTCTGACATGCTAGCAGTAAAATACGGTGTTGTGCCAAAAAGTGATTTCCGGTATTTGCCAAAGAATTATTGATGGAATTTAAGCTGTTTTGGCTTGTTGACCTAAAATCTGTCAAAGCTTCTCTTGTGGAGAACATCTAGTAATTTAGAGCCAAAAAGAACAATCCTATCGCGAAGCAGCTGCTGCAATCAGTTTTTGGCAAAGTGACTTTTATTATTGGGGTAAAAAGTGTTGTTGAAATTAAAAATGTGTTTTTCTAAGGAGATCTAACCAAGAGGGAAGCAGAAATTGTAAAAATAACATCACAGTTTTATAAACTTACTTGAAGTGACGAAAAAGGACAGAGCCGATGATTATATGGGTACAATTACATCATAAAGATACTTCCAAAACAAGTAATTTCTTTATTTTATACATAACCTCTTCATAAATCATTTTTATTACAGTCTATTTACTAATATAAGTAAATACATTAGATTTAAAAAACAAACAAAAACATAGAAAATCACTTTTTGGAAGACGATCAGTTTTTGGCACAACACTGGCTCCCCCTGTCTATCTGTGTACCTGGCCTATACCATCACACTTCCTGTCATCAGAACGTCTGCCCCCCTTCCTTCTGTCACATAATGGTATGACCCCAGTCGTTCTTTGCATGTGATTGGTCGCATCTTGTGCCCATCAAAATAAAGCTACTCACTCGCTTGGTTAATTCCATTAAGGATTAAAGTTATGCATTATTTATGCTAGCACATCAGCTTACTAGTGGGCTAACTGATGTGGGATTTTGTGCCTTTAGGTTATTAAGGCAATTGTCTGACAAATAAGTTTCATGTACAGCTAATTTTACTAACAGCCTGTCCAGGAAGTCTGCATTCTCTCCCCTGTTTTGGGGAGTAAAATTCTAGCATTTTTATTTTTACTTTTGCCCAATTAGGAGCTACTTGTGTCTGTGGATGCAGTAACGCCAAAATTGATGGTTCAAAGTGAGAGCTATGCTGGTAGCTACCATAGTGATAGTGATACCATAGTGATAACTACCATAGTGATAAGCTATGCTGGCTATATCCATCTTTTATTTCCAGACATGGATATTACTCGTGTTAGAGAGTCGAGATTTCTCAGTCTCTGTTGCTCTGATTTTCATCCTCCCTTTTTAAAGCTACAGTGCAAATCATAACACAGTTTGCCACTCAGTTGAATAGCGTAGTATTGTGCTCAACTTGATTCTCCTATAATTCTCAGAATCATAGGAATCTCAAAAGGAGCCCTTTTGAGAAGAGAAAGCAACAGTCAGCACCATGTTACATTTATAAGCAATTAATTAAAAATACCTCAGAAGAACTTGGTTTGAATGTTCGTGTAATCTCATCAGCTCGGATTGCAGACCCTACAACACCGGAATAGAGGAAATTTTTTTTTAGTAACATCTGATTAGCATTCAATATGATGTCATGGCATTTAAAGTATCGAATAGTCTCCCTTCAACTCTAAGCTCCACAATATCAAACATACCTCTATCATTCTGTGATTCTCCACATGAGCGTTCTTCATCTTTTCCATAAGAATGTCTTTCTAGACAGTTAAAGTTAAAATAAACATTTTAAAATGTGACAATTTCAACTTTCATTGTTAGCATTTTTTTTTTAACTTACCTTTGATATTTCTCTGTCTCTCAGTGTCAACATAATCAGAATTTCCTCAACTCCAGCCTGTGAACATACAGGCTTTTACTAACAACACAAACTCATTACAGTGTAGAAACAATTACACTCATCTCTTCTTACCCTCAATTCAGTGTTGACCTTCCTCAATTTGTTGAGGCTTTCTTCGGAGCATGTTTTCTCAAAGATGAGTTTTTCATTCTGTGTGGAAATGAAAAATGCTCGTTTATGTAAACATCAGCTTTATTTTATATAATGGAAAGCGCACACATTGGGCATATTTTTAAGATGTACAACACCTCTTCTTCAAGCCTTCGAATATCACTCTGAAGACATTCAACCTCATTGCTCTGAAGACCAAAAAAAAACTTAAATGTAAATAGTTGCCATATAAAATAAGCCAAACGCAGCAGAGTGTTTCACTGTGGGACTGCTGAGAGTTTGACATACCAGTTTGGAGCAGCTATTCTGGGTCCGACTGGCTTTCTCCCGGGCCTCTTTAAATGCTTGACGTGTCTCCTCCAGTTCTTCTGTCAGAGATCTAACTCTCACTGCTGACCTCTGAGCACTGCACATGATAAACAAACCAAGACAAGGAAATTACAAGGTAATTACATGACTGACTACATGAAAAAAAAGACTGACAAACCAAACAATGAATAAATTAATAAATGTGTGTCTATGAGAAGGTTCCTTAAGGAAAAGTCTGAAGGGCCTATTTGTGTCATTTGAAGTAAGTAACTGATGTTTATTTTGCTGTTGATGTTTTTTAAGAAATGGGCTTGTTATATATGTATGGTGGGTGGAATGATTGTGCAGCATGCATTCTTTATGGCTTTAAAATTTTAAGAAAAAATAATTTTTTTGGATTTTTTAAAATGTTATGTTGAGGTTTCTCTAATCCACACAGGATCAAAAGAATATATATATATATATATATATATATATATATATATATATATATATATATATAACAGGACAGTGATCCCAAACAAAAATCAATACTTCTTGTGGAATGGATAAAACATTGAGCTTCTGGTCTTCCCAAAGCGATGACCGTAAAGCTATTGAAAATGTATGACTGCACTCCAAAATGGGGCCTCGAAATCAATCATTTTAAATTAACTCCCACAGTTCTGCCAAGAGGAAGTCAAATCTCCATCCAGAATTTTATCAGAAGCTTGTTGACGGTACCAAAAGAGTCTGGCAAGTCATCTTCACTTCATCCCTTCCACCAATTTAAATTAACTCTACCAATTCTGCTAAGAAGAATAGTCAAATATCCTGCCAGAAGCTTGTTGATGCTTACTGAAAGATTCAATTGAGGTGAAACTTGCTAAGGGATGCTTAACCAAATATTAATGGTGGTGCATGTACATGTATTTAGAGCCTTTATATATTATTTTGCCCCTGTGTGGATTTGAGAAAGTCTAAATGAAGGTCTTGCTTCTTTGGTCATTAAAGATGAATGCTGTACAATCATTCCACCCTGGGAAAAAAAGTACAGGGAAATCACTAAAAGCCCAAAATTAATAACATTTGTGCCCACAATGAGTTCATGTGAACTTCTACCCATAGCTGGTTTTCAGAGTTTATCTTATTTGTTTAAATATGCTTTTGAATATGTAGTCACTTCACAAAGGTGTGTCTGTTAGGCCTTATTCATATGAATAAGTTCACATAAACTAGTTTCACAATAGTTTGATACAAGTTAATCTGAGCAATCTGAACACTGATCATGTTCAGAGTTAAGATATATGTGTTAAAATATACGTGTTGTCCAAACCAGAGTTTACCTACATGAAATATGTGCAGTCTATAATGATTGGCATTGGTATTTCTGCTCATTTTTTAGTCATTAGATGTTTATTACACTTTTAGTGATCAGTTTGTCATTTTTGAAGTGCAAATAAATGATATGATATAGTTGAATAATAAAACTTGAATAATAAAACAATCTGCTTTTGCTGGAAGTTATTACAGTAGTGTAATCTTACATGCTTGGAATGCAGTTAACTGTGCGAGAAATTAGTTTATTCTTCACCTGACCAGCTTTGCTCGCAGCTCAGTGATGTCCAGAGTGAGCTGCAGGTTTGTGTCTTCACATTGAGCAACAGTCCTCAGCAGACTACTGTTCTGCTCACTAAGTTTGCGGTTGGCATGCTTCAGTTCAGCCACTGTACATGACAGGTCTTTTCCATCGCTGAAGCCAAAGAAATGGTTACTAATGTGTGAAATCAAACTGATTAGGGAGGCAAACAGAAGCAATGGTTAAACTAGAACAAAATATCCAACCAGAAACACAGCTGGCCTTCTGATGACGTCTCTTCACTTTGACAAAATGACAAACCCAGCCCTGAAAGGAAATGAGGAGCAATGAATTGTTTCATATTTAATAAACTGAGTCTCAAAACTAAGAATAAAACCTGGAAATATACCATTTGCATTTACAGGCTCTTCAGATGTGTTTGGCCGAGGTACATGGCTGCTGTCCTCATCAGTACTGTAACACAGGAAAACTGAGTGATATCACAGCTGATTAATAAAATATTTAATTGATAGAAAAGTAGGAAAAAAATACATTTAACTGCATATGGCCTGCTGTGTTTGTAAAAAAGATCAAATGTGATGGACGTTGTGGTAGACCATCTTCATCCCTTCATCTTTAAATTATTCTTCCCCTTGTTTTAGATGATTACCTTCAAAGGTAATTATTTAAAGTGGAGCTAACTTTAAAAAAAGTCAAAATAAAAATATACTGTTAGGAACTTTCATCTGTAGTAACAATATATTTAATTGGATATGAAGCTTTAGATGTAATACCAAGGTTGCATAACATCTCTAATAAGATCCCTTGTGTAGAGTTTCAGTCTCACCTGTCCTCGCTGCACTGGGTGATCCACGTCCTCATGGTGGAGTGAAATGTCTCTCTGCTCACATGTGGGTCCTGACAGTCAGGGTCGAGCAGCCGTTGCAGGGCAGCCAATCGGTCCTGCCCTGGGCTCTGAGCAGTCATGGTGTGCAGATACTCGAAAATGGTAGAGGCTAACACTTCACCTGAAGGCAAGAGGGGAAAAGGAGGAAATGAAAAAGACGTCACACCATTACTGCACCGTTTTTTTTTGTCTAAATAAAATTCAGTCCATCTGTGTACCTGATTTGCTGCTATTACACGTATCATACACGATGTCAAGGAGTTCATGTTCAGATAATCCGCTTGTGTCTTTGCTGTCCTCAAACACATCGTTCATCCCACAGCCAGATGTCTCCCACACTTTACATGTGTTAGAAAATGTTAGAAAAAGAAATGAATATGCTGTATACTTGTTTGATACTAATACTGGATAAACTGAAACACTCACCATTATTGTCGTCAGACATTGTGTTTGTTTCTCCTGAAGCCACAGAGAGCAACTATGCTGGACAGTCATGTCCCTGCATGACCTGAAATTTAAATAAACAAATGCATTTTTACCTTTGTGCATTGTGTCTGGAGGCTAAAACTAACAGACTAATATCATAAAATTGAAAATAAATTGGAATTACGTATTATCTTTGATGCAAATTGGATCATAGATGGTTTTTAGAAACTAAATCTAGCCAGTCTTCATAAAAAATGAGTTAAAAATGCAGGTTTTCAGACAGTACAGTTGTGTTAAAGAACTTTCACGTGAACCAAATTTCCACCTCTGAAGATTCCTGTAGGGAAGACAATTCATATGGTTTACAGTTAGATTGGAAGACACATATGTTTTTGGTCTTATCTCATATAGCCTTTAAACATTTATTTTTAAACAGAAACAAGTCAGAAAAAAATCTTACTTTTCAGTCCGGAAAGGTTTTCTGTAAAGAAAATCATTCAGTAAGAAGCATCACCTTATCGTTTGTCTTCTACTCTTTAATTCTGAAATACTGTGAAGTCTTCAAGGTGCTTCTTTGGTTTTCAGGACTCACATCAAAACCAGCTGACATCCCCTCAGCCTCCCTCCCTCCACACCCTCCTCCCACTGCTTGCCAAAATGCAGCTCTGGAGAGGTTTGTGACAATGATGCACACAGTAAATTTAAATTCACACGTTTAACACATCAAATGCACAGTCTCCCCTTTGAATTCAGCAAATGTAGGGAGTAACTACCTTCCAGTGTGAGTGTGTGTGGCAGTTTATTCCCAATAAAACACTATTGTTTTATTGTATTGTAAGTGATGGCTCTCCCATTGTTAACTAAATTCGTCTTTTTTTGTGGCAGTTTCTCTTTGAGTTATAGTAATGACTATTTTCTTCTACAGTCATTGAGTCATAGTGTTTATGGTTTCTGCCCGGACATAATTTCAGTTGCGCCATCCGTGTGTTTCGGAAGCATGAATTAGCTACTAGCAGACAACGGGTGGAAGAAATTGTATTTTTATTTTTACAATTTTTTTTTTTAGATAAATCTAGCTTCGGGTCGTTTTGGTTATTCTTTCAAGATGTCTCGAGGCTCTATCGAGATCCCTTTACGGGACACAGATGAGGTAAATCTTTCCGTGAACCTGTTTTCACTAAGAGGATCTAGCTGTGCTGTTAGCCGCTTAAGCTAACTGCGGATAGCCTGAGCTGATGTTGTGTACCTGCTTACAGAGTGGCGTTGTAACGAAAGCCTGGTGTATTTGTTTGCAATCTGGAGTTTAAACATAGTGACATTTTAATGCTTGTCAGCTGTTCCAACTCCTTAAATATGCGTTCGGCGCCTGTGCAAAGCTTACTTATCGCGATGTTTTGTCGTCGCCGTTCTCAGTGATGCAGTAAACATTAAATTCTACTGAGGTGTTTTCTATTTAATTTAAGAGCCTGATAAGCGTTGTGGTATTTCAACACATCACCGAATTTGTGACAGATGTGTTGTAGTTGCAGGCAGTCGGTTGCATTAGTGTTTAGGCTACGTTAGGAGTGGACCAAGTATTAGAAACATATGCCAGTAATAGTCCCTTATGAAGACTTTTACATTGAATAAATATTTTTAAAATTGGTGAAACAAGCATTGATCAGTATAACCAACACATTTATTGAACCTTGTAAGCATTTGCAGCAGCAAAGTTTTTCTATTAAACTGTGTAGGTCAAGTGAAATCTACCTAAGAAACTGACGTTAAAGAATTAAATGCAAAATGTTTTTTTTGTTAAACATATTTTGTTAAAATAGAAAATATGCAAGAGAGAAGATGGAAACCATTTTTAAAGTAAAAATATAAGTACACACTTAATGTAAAATTAAAATCAAATATTCCAAAATTAAAGCAACACTATGTACAGTACAGAGTTATAAAGTCTGATGGCCACAGGTAGGTATGGTTATCAATCTCTGGGTTCTGTGCATAGAGGATGGCACTGGCCAGCACAGACTCATAAAAAATTGGGAGCATCATCCCATAAGTATCAAAGTTCATTCATTAGACAGTAAATACAAGTTTGATTCTCCTTGTAGAGGACTTCTGTGTTTTAATCAGTGTAAACACCGAGGTATTTGAAATCCCCCATCGTCTCCACACAGACCCCATGGATGGAAATGGGGTCGCTGGAGTTCTTGGCCTATTCATGCCCACAACCCGTTCCTTAGTCTTTGCTACATTAGGATGCAGGTGGTTTTCTTGCAGTGCGTAACAAAGTTTCCAGTTTCTAATTCATAACACTCTGAATTGATACATGTGTCAGGATTTACACTACTATTACAATAAAATAATATAATACACATATAATCTGCATAGATATGTTTTTCCACTGGCAACACCATGCATGCTGAGATATTTACTGTAATAACATACATACATATCTGTGTTTTCCAGGTCATCGAGCTCGACTTTGACCAACTTCCTGAAGGAGATGAGGTCATCAGTATCTTGAAGCAGGAGCACACGCAGCTGCACATTTGGATTGCTCTGGCGGTGAGTCGATACATCGGCCTTAGACTTCATGGTTTTTGTTCTGCAAATAATAATTAAGCTCTTTTTTTCAGTTTATCCCAAACATCAATGTAACAGCTCGAAGTAATTTGTTTTCTCAACCCCAAATAGAAAGATGCGACAGAGAAGCAAAATCGCACAGTTGAGAACCAGAAAATTTCAATAAGTGACCTTAAAATAAACAGTAAATTTCTTGTCAGTCAGGTAGTTGTTAGATTCAGATTAAGTACTGCACTAACTGACGTGTGTATAAATGTTAATTTGATGAAACGTGTACAAACAATGTGAAATTCCAATCGAGTGTGACAGTTTTCCTTCTATTTCTTCTTAAGTTGGAGTACTACAAACAGGGCAAAACAGAGGACTTTGTAAAGCTTTTAGAGGCAGCACGTATTGATGGAAACCTCGACTACAGAGACCACGAAAAAGACCAGATGACCTGTCTGGACACACTGGCAGCTTACTATGTCCAGCAAGCACGTAAAGAGAAAAACAAAGATGCCAAGAAAGAGCTCATCACACAGGCTACGCTCCTGTATACTATGGCAGACAAGATCATCATGTATGATCAGGTAGGGAAAAAAGTAGCATAGCAGGTGATAAATGAGGTTATGTTTCTTGCATTTCAAGTAAATTGAACATGCTGTTGTCTCAATCAGAACCATTTGTTGGGAAGAGCCTGTTTCTGCCTGCTGGAAGGAGACAAGATGGACCAGGCCGATGCTCAGTTCCACTTTGTCCTCAACCAGTCCACTAATAACATCCCTGCTTTGCTTGGTAACTTGAATATGAAACAGCGTAGGACTGAAATGCACTACACCGATTGACTGAAGTAATAACAATGTTGTTGTTAAACAGGTAAGGCTTGCATCTCCTTCAATAAAAAGGATTACAGAGGAGCACTGGCATACTACAAAAAGGCTCTGCGTACAAACCCCGGCTGCCCAGGTAGACCAATAACATGTCATGTCTTTAAACAGTCCCCGCATGCCTGTATTTCATTTATTAGTTTTTGTCATCATCATCAATATTATGATGAAAATATTATTGTTGCAGCAGCAACAAGAGCCAGCATGTTCATGTTTTATGTGGCAAAGATATGTAGGTAATGAGCCACTTCATTGTTAACTTACAAATACAATTTATGAACAGAAGATCCTTGATTTTAAAAACACAGGACCGCAGATAATATATTTGCCCTTCACTCATATTGGTTCTAAAACGAATGTTCCCAACTTGTTCTTTGTCTTGTTTTTGTGTAGCTGAGGTGAGGCTGGGGATGGGCCACTGTTTCGTCAAGCTCAACAAACTGGAGAAGGCTCGTTTGGCTTTCGGTCGAGCCCTGGAGCTTAATTCAAAGTGTGTGGGAGCGCTCGTTGGTTTGGCTGTTTTAGAGCTCAACAACAAAGAGGCAGACTCCATCAAGAACGGAGTGCAGCTCCTTTCGCGGGCCTACACCATCGACCCCAGCAACCCCATGGTGCTCAACCACCTCGCCAACCACTTCTTCTTCAAAAAGGTAATCACGGCTGTGTTGTTGAAATGCAGTGAAAATATAAGTTTTAGCCTTTCGCTGTTATTAACTGTTCTTTGTGCCTATGTGCTTTCTGCTTCCTCTCAGGACTACAGTAAAGTGCAGCATCTCGCTCTGCACGCTTTCCACAACACCGAAGTTGAGGCCATGCAGGCTGAGAGCTGCTATCAGTTAGCTCGCTCGTTTCACGTGCAGGTACGATCCCAACCAGCCGCGTGCAAGCTTGTTATTGTTTACTGAGGTCGCCATTCATATCTGTCCTTTCTTCTTCCACAGGAGGACTACGACCAAGCGTTTCAGTATTATTACCAAGCCACTCAGTTTGCCTCGTCCACCTTTGTGCTGCCGTTTTTCGGCCTGGGGCAGATGTATGTATATCGAAGAGACAAAGAAAATGCAGCGCAGTGCTTTGAAAAGGTTTTAAAGGCTTACCCCAACAACTACGAGACTATGAAAATCCTTGGGTCTCTCTATGCAACGTCTGACGATCAGGAAAAAAGAGACATTGCAAAAGTGTGTATTCTCATGTCACTTATCTCATAGCTTGGAAAATTGTGCCAGACATATTTTGATAAATATGCTTAATAGTTACTGGATATATTCCACTGTTTTTGTTTCATAGGGGCACTTGAAGAAAGTAACAGAGCAGTACCCAGATGATGTGGAGGCGTGGATTGAGCTGGCACAAATTCTGGAGCAGACAGACATCCAAGGAGCGCTGTCCGCTTACGGCACAGCTACGCGCATCCTGCAGGAGAAGGTGCAGGCCGACGTTCCCCCCGAGATTCTCAACAACCTGGGGGCTCTGCACTTCAGACTGGGCAACCTAGGGGAAGCCAAGGTAGCTAATAATATACCATAAATGCAGTTTAACCTGAGAGCTCCTGAACTAAGTATAGCTTCATTTAGTTGAGAATTTATTCAGTTAATATGGAACTGCAGAATATTACTGGATGCCTGTGGTATTTACTGATCATCGAGTGTACATAACTCTGTATAAATAG